AGCGGTTCAACCTTGTGGACTGAGATGCGTCCAAGGTTCTCGGGGCCCAGAAGGCTCAGTTCTGCCCTCAGAACCTTGCAGAGCAGCTGGACCGGTGAGTGGAGCTCACATACACGCTCGCACACACACACGGACGCAAGCGCATTTAAGATCACCCTAGAAACGGACGTAAATGGCGGAGTCCAGGAACTCGCACTCACTCCCCAGCTCTGTACTCTCCACTTGGGACAGCGCTGGAAGCTGTTCAAGCCTGTGCCCAGCACAGAGCCGGCCCAGCGGTGGGGTCACCCTCAGGAGGGAAGTGCGGCAGCCTGGGCTCCGCCACAGGGAAGCGGTGGCCCTTCCAGCTGATCAAAGTGACTGATGTCACTTGGCAGCTGCGTGGAAGGTGGTAGGACTTGCATGTCTGGAGAAAGGGGAGGGGGGGCGGGTGGGTGTGGCCACCTTCAGCTTCCACCAGGAGCCCCCCCCACCCCGTGCCGTGCCCCTCCTGGAGGGGGGGAGTCAGCCCCTGGTGACATCTGCCATGACGGGGCCCTGTTGTCCCCGACACAGCACAGTCACACACCTGGTCTCCCAGGGTTGGGACAGTGGGAAGGTGGCTGGGTGGGTGGATGCCCTGGCAGCCACCGGCACCTGTCACTAACACCTGCTCGTTCAGGTGGAGAAGCGGGGGAGCGCCGGGTGAAGAGCAGGGGCCGCAGAGTCGGGGGCCCACGGCCGCTCCTTCTCCATGTCTGAGGCTGCCAAGTGGAGGCATTAGCACCAGCCTCCGGGGGGCCGAGCTTCAAGGTGAGCCTTTTCCTACAGGTCCAGCTGGACACGGCAGTGCCCGAGCCTCCCCGCTCAGTCTCCTAGGAGTTGGGCTAATGGGAGTCAGTCCCCTTGCACTGGAGGGATTCTGGGTCCACCAGCAAAACTGAGCGGTGGGGCGGCGGAGAGTGGGGTTGGACTTCTGGTGAAAAAGCAGCAGGACAGGGGCAGGTTTACAGTCCAGGGTGTGCCTGGTAGTGCGTAACAGATGCACACACACGTCTACGTGGACGGCACGGACGTATGTGTGTGCACAGCCCAGAGGCCCATCAGCGCCACGACACGGTCACCGGCCCCTCCACAGCGTCGTCGTGGTGATAAAATCGCCTCCTGACGTTTACTGGCCACGAGGCCAGGAACTTCAAGGTGATGCCACTGTCATCCCCTTTCACAGACGGGAAACGGCAGCAGAGCCGGTCTGCAGAGTGAGCGGGGAGCGGCCAGCGTGCTGGGCAGACGCGCGTGGGCTCGGAAGACGCCAAGAATGGCCGACAGCAGTGCAGACCCCCCCAGAGTCCTGGCTTCATAAAATGCTCAATGTCTGTGTCTACCTGTCCGTCTGGCTACGCGCAGAAACAACCCAGGAGATGTGACCTGAACGCCGACAATGGCTCCTCCGGGGGGCAAGGTTGGGGCACCTTGGGGCTAGCTTCTCAGGTTTCCATCATGTGTGCTTTTTTTTTCTTAAGTATTTATTTGGCAGCGCCGGTTCTTAGTTGCGGCACGTGGGATCTTAGTTCCCTGACCGGGGATAGAACCCAGGGCCCCTGCCTTGGGAGTGCGGTGTCTTAGCCACTGGACCGCCAGGGAAGTCCCATGTGTGCTTTCTTACAGTGAATATGCACTGTTTTATACATTTTAAAAAAAGTGATAATGAAGACAAACTAAGGAGGTCCATCAACAGAGCAGGGTCCACCGGCCGGGCCACTGCTGGTGACGTCATGCCGGCCCGCAGGCTCCCTGGCGGGACCGCTGACCACCCAGGGGGCACATCTGACACGGGAGCGTTTCCACTGTGGTCCTGGGGTCTGTCATGGGAGCTGCGCCCTTCTAACAATGGACCTACCTCAGCCAATGGCCAGGGACTCACACTTTTAAAAAGAGTCACCTGCTGATTCTATTTGCGATACTTGGCAGTTTTCTGGTTTTCTTTCTGAAAAACAAGAACTTAACTTTTGGATATATTGACTATGAAACTTTTCTCTGAATGTGAGCAGTATCCTTCTGAGACCTGACAGAGAGAACATGGCCATGTCTGCACATCCCAGTGTGCAGAAAAACAGGGCGTTTTATGAGAACTGTTTGGAGGAGGATGAAACCGTTGTGTATTTAGATAACTTTACCTTAACATGCCACTGAGAAGAAATAACCAATGAGTTAGATGAGAACAGTGTGAGGTGCTATCCCGGCCACCCTCCAGTCCCAGGCGGGATAGGGCAGGGTGGAGGCTGCCCCGAGAGCAGCCTCGGCCCGACAGCGAGGCCAGTGCCTCAGACCCTGGTGGACGCCTCACTTGGCTACAGTTCTCAGCCCTGACTTGCGGGGAGCGCCTTTCAGGCGGAGGCAGATGGTCCTGCCCGCAGACTTCTCCCCGGCCGGGCAGGGCGGTGACGCAGCACAGGTGGAGGACAGCTTGGTGCAGAGAGCAAGCGTCCAGGGTTGGCCGAGCCCTGCTCTCAGGCGATGTGCAAACACTGCACGGGGTCACCTGGGCCTCACAGGCGAGGTCCTGGCCGAGCGCTCCGTTCGAGGTCGGGAAGGATGTGAAGGGGCAAGTTCACTGCCCTGCTGACCGTGGACAGGAAGCCGCCCGGCCCGCGCAGGCCCGCGGACGGGCTGTTCTCTGGAGACTATGATTCTCCAGGGAAGAGAAGGCGGGCTTCTGGGCTCAGGACAGAGCCCCAGGGTCACAGAATGGGGTGAGGGGAGCCCCAGGGAGCACTCCATCCGGTGCCCCCAGCCTGGGCTAAGCCGAGGGCGAAGGTTGGGCCAGGTGTGAGGGACGTGAGCCCTGCAGGTGGCTGGGGGTGCTGAGCTGCACCCTCTGGCCCGCGCAGGCCCCGCAGTGGCGCCTCCCGCCCCCTCACGTCTGCCCGGGCCACAGCCCCGACCCGCCTCCCCACGTTACCTGTGGTGAACCGCGGCTTGGTCGGGGGCTCCTGCACAGACATGGGGAAGGTGGCGGACGCGGGGGAGGACTGCGCCCGGGACAGAGGCCGGTGGCTGCCAAAGGACACGGGGATGCCGGCCGCCTCCATCGACGCCTGGTAGCTCCTCAGCTGGTGGACCCGTTGCTGCTCCAGGAGGAGGGCTTGCTGGGGGAGAGGAGACAAGAGCCATTTTTGTTGCTTCCAGGCAGCTCCTGCCCCTGGCTGGAGGGCTACGTGTGTCCCCTTCTTCCAAGTCGCTCATCCACCCAGCCCTTGGCCCTCGGGTGGCACCGGGTGGACAGCCTGCACTGGCCCCGACCAGACCGGACATCCCCGTGGAAAGACAGGCCATCAGCGGAGACGCCCGGCGAGCCCGGTCAGGGCTGACAGGGAGGGCCGGCCCAGCCTGGGGGCCGCGGGGGGTCCCTGAGGAGGTGGCACCCAGGGAGGCAGGGGCGGCCAGGCAGAGGGTGCTCGGGGCGGGGCTCGGAGGTGTGAAGAAAGGCACTGGCGCAGGAAGGAAGCCACGCCGACGGGGCTCAACAGCACTCCCGGCCGGTCTGGTTTCGACCAGGGCCACTTGGTCTGCACGCCAGAAACTTGGGTGAAAAGCACATCACGGCCGGAAATGCGACTTCCTCTCCATCCCTGACCTCTTCCCTCTCCTGGTCTCACACGTCCTCATGCCAGGACGGAAAGGACGGCTGAGGCAGAGACGGCCAGGGCCCAGCGGTCTGGGCGTCAGGGCCGGGGGGGTGTGGGTGCACCTCTCTGAGGCCTGGACCCAGACGGCAATACCCCGGACCCCACTTTAGCCAAAAATAACCAGAGTAAAAGTGGGTGAGTTAAACACACACTTTAAAAACTTCTTTTTCACAGAAGTTATCTTCCATGTGAAGAACGGACTTCTGTGAGAAAATGCCAAAAGGCCCTAAAGCGGGAAGTTTGCAAACCAAAGGGCCTCCGCCGGATGAGGCTCTAGGGCTCGGAAGCAGGGAGGCCACAGCCCCTCGGCTGAAGCCGGACAGGCCCCCCCCCCCCTCCCCCCCTCCC